CACTCCTTCTCTGTGGTGCAAACAGGGAAAGCACCGTTGCATTCCTCGCCAACTTTCACATCCCGCCGTGGTGCCCCGGCAACCCCGTCCATCATGGGCGTGTCGTGGTCCTCCGTTTCCGATTGCCTCGGCTCCTTTTCCGATGGCTCCGCGCATCCCCGTTACTCCCGAGTACCCCCTTCGCACAGAGTCGGCCCCTCCTCGGTCTCCTCAAGACAACCAGAACGACTCTCGGCCTTGCGTCAGCGCTCCACTCCGCCGGCATCGGAGGAGAAACTCGCCCATTGCGCAGTCCCAAGTCAAGGCGCCGCCATAGCTCCCCCACCACCCCCGCTCGTCCCGGATTCCAACGCCGTGTACAATTTGTTAGATGACGAACAAGAAGACGTCTGCCCAACCTGTTTAGAGTGCTACGCAGAAGACAATCCCAAAATTTCATCCACGTGCGGCCACTCTTTTCATTTGCAATGTATCGTCGCATGGGAGACCAGGAGCGGAAGCCGGTTTTGTCCTATCTGCGCCAAAGTTATGGAGTATGCTGAGGCTGAACAGTTCCGGACGTAGCTGCGCCTGCGTAAGAAAGACTGCACGTCGCTCGACCATTTGTATTTTAGATTCGATAGAGGGGGCTGGCCTTTGACCGGTGTTTTGTTTATCTCTAGAGGCTGCGTCCGATTTGTACATACACACTGAGACGCTTGTTGTTATCTGAACCTGTGCAATCGCTATCTCTTATTAGTTTCTGCTTGAGTTTCCAATCTTTGTTAAGACAGTGTAAACAAACAATAATTCACAATCAGATTTGTTCATTTCCGAAAGTGAAGTACTTGCAATCCCGATGTTGCTGTCGACAGGAAAACCTTCTCCCTTGTCGTCAAGGCTGCAACAAGGAAAGGCAACAATTTACGGTCTTTACAGAACGACTTGTCAACATTCGACAGTCTGAGGTTTGAGGTCAATTTTTTCAGCTTTTTAAAAAATGTTTACACCGGCTAGATAATGCTGCGTCCACACATTCGAGATTGCCCATTTACTGTACAATTGACATTCATTAACATCTTATTGCTTCTCTCCCATCCCATATCTTACCCTTGTCCGTTACCCTTTTTCCGTTGGAGCCGCTATGAGCCTATGTTTTCATGCGTCAATTCCATTCCGGATCTATCCAAGACTACGACACCAACGGCCACTTCAAATCACTAGCACTATCAAGAGAAGAGTTGCTACACCCCGAACATCCTTCATGAAGATTGACTCGCACGTGCACGTCTGGGATCCCGCTTTTCCAACACATCCCGACCACCCTCTGCCCCCATCACTACCTGGGACTCAAGCTGATTTACTGAGTTGCATGGATGACGCGGGTATTGATAAAACCGTTATCGTACAACCGATTAATTACAAGTTCGACCACACCTACGTGCTCAACGCCATCAAAAAGCACCCCTCACGATTTGTCGGCGTTGCACTTGCTGATACTGCACTTGCACCGTCTGTAGCCTGCGAGACCCTGGAGCAACTCGTAGCACAGGGATTTCGAGGCATTCGGATTAACCCCACTTTCAAACCCGATGGCTTTGCTGATGAGACTGTTAAGGCCCTCGTGCGAAGAGCTGGCGAGCTAGACATTCCAGTCACGCTCTTCGCCAAACCTGAACACCTTGACGATGTCACAATGCTCTTGACAGAATATCCAAAATGCAGGATTTTGCTAGATCATTTTGCGTTTTGTTCACCTGGTGAGCTAGAGGCTCAGAAGAAGCTGCTCGACATGGGGTCTAGCCACACAAACCTGTACGTGAAGACTTCTGCGTGGTTCAGGGTGTCGAATGACCAGTGGCCACACGCGGACCTGTATCCGTTCTTGAAAGAGTTGATTGAAACTTTTGGTGCCAACAGACTGCTGATCGGATCAGACTTCCCGTTTGTGAAAGAGCAATACGAGTACAGCCAGAGCTTTGCTTTGCTCGAGAAGGCCCCAATCGCTGCCGAAGATCGGGATTGGATCCTCGGAAAGACAGCAGCAACATTGTACAAAATGTAAGACGGTCGGGCCGGTGCGGCCTGTAGGCCTGTAGGTTAGCTTTCGCTGTTATCGGTCTCGGAATCTCTATTCAATCGGTCTGGCTTCCAGAGCCCCTCCAAATCGTACCATTGCCTCGTGTCCTCAGTCATCACATGTACGACAACATTTCCCACGTCAACCGCTTTCCAATCACTTGACGCACCCCCTGCTATGCCGACAACATCCCCATCGACCAAAATACCGCACTGCCTCATGTCGTCCTTAATTCCATCGGCGATCACACGAACATGTCGCTCTGTGCGACCACTGCACACGATGAGCCAGTCAGCAAAGGGCGCCTTCTCTCGCACATCCAGAATTTCAACGTCAAACGCCCCGTGTAAGTCTTCGAGAGTTTTCCCTATTGTTTCGATAGGTGGTATCTTGCCTGTGACTGGCGGGATGTGCTTCTTCAGTCGTGTAGCAGGCTTTTCGACAACAGGCCCCTGATCATTCGTATGCGCGTGCGGAGCTATGATAGCTTCTCGATGCGAGCCATATTTGTCCAGATATTCGCGCATCCGCTCTGCGTTGCGCCGCGCAATACCACTATCGCCTCTGCGTTCTGAGGTGACCTGAGGTTCAGTTGTTGTTGAGGAACAAAACTGCCGTACAGTGAGTCGTGTTCCAGCGCGAGCTAGAGTGCGACTAGCCCGCCCGGAGATTTGGATAACACTCATCGATACAAACACACTTGCGATGGCTGAGACGGGTGCTCTTTAGAAACCGATGCCACATGCCGGCATCCGAAGATACTGGTCGTTCCATAGGTTTCTGGGGGAGCCCACCGCCTAGACAGTATGCCTAAAGCAACAACAAAAACAAGTGTACACAGGCAGACGTTTTTAACGAAGCTGCCCTAAATTTTCCTGTTTCGCCATATATTATTTGGCGAATATTTCTTGTTCCAGTTGGTCCTACTTTCGGGAAATCGTTGCACCCATATTATTACATGATTACAGTATGATTAGGCAGGCACAACAAGACCTTTCACGCAAAGATGGAATTTTCCATTGTTAGACCCAATCTTGTTAACTCAAAGCAACGAACATATTCGCAAGGATGAAAATGCAGCAAAAGCGATACAACGGAAAGTTCAAGATAGAACGCCGTTTCAAGCAGCAATCCCAGTCAATAGTATCCCCGAGTTCATCAATGGAACACTGCGGGTATTTTCATTGCGTTACTGTTCGTGGTCTCTGTCCTCTACAAGGCCAATCTGGTGGAACTTTGTGTGCTAGCGGCTGCAATGCGCTACCCTTGGGTACTGTATGTGTGGGAGAACGGGAACGATGAGGTTAGTAGTAGCCGCGCTCGTCGCGCGCAGTGGCGGGGGAAAGGAGTCGCGAGAGTCGGGGGGACGGGGATACTTCGGACGGAGAGTCTCGCGACTGTTCGCAGGCGCTGTAAGAGGGTAGCAAGTTACCCCCGAGGGTCGGTCGGGGTACCGCCCTCGGACTTTTATCTCGCCGGATTTCCCGCCAACGCGTCGCGCAGATAATTTCCCTTTTTTCGCAGATTCAGGGCTAAACAAATAAACTTCAATTTCTATATTCCCACAGTATGTCCTACCCTGCGAAGGGTACATTGCAAAATGTATCCCGAAACGATCAAAATGCGGACACAAAATCGTCCAGGGGTTCTGATTCGTTGTCAAATTTGTCACAAGCAACCTGAAATGTACTGTGTATATTTCACGCCATAGCCCCTACTAATAGACACTTATCTCGGTCCGTTTCTAAACTCTTGTCTGTTCTGGTACACAGAAATGCGACAGGGTGTACGAAAGATTCGGAAGTGGGAATACATTACTTTATGACTTACGTTTTTTTTACAGTAGATCGATGGGAATGCGACATTCCTCTGTGCGCTTCATTCATAAAATATGGAATGCGAGGGCGATAAAGCATTCCAAATTTAGCAAGCATCTTAGAGTAAGGTCATTAAGGAATACGCAATACACAAGAACTAAGGGTAGCCTCTTCAACATGTGTATTGAGCCAGAATATCTCCTTTAACTATCTTTCCAATGTCATATTGCCATATCGACAATCAAAGTCAGCTTACTTCATAACACAAAAAAGAAAAGAAGCATTGAAAGCGTTTTGTTCCTTTTCGGGAATGTGGCTATACTATGACAGCCCTCTTCATCCGGCTTCGATTCAGCTCAGCATTGTTTAGTTCTTTGATTCGTAGGTATCGCGAAACGTCATTTTTCATATAGGAAAAGATCCCATGCTTTGCTGAAAAGTAAAGTGAAGATAAGATCTAGTTCAAGGGGCGTCCACAACAAAACCTTCGTAAAACTTGGCAATTCTCAAAGAACCATACGTAGCATTGATACATCTTGGGGCATTGTATATCGTATAATCACGTCGTCTTACACTATACAATACCCTCTCTCTCACTCTTGGGAAGGAATGAAGGACTGTTCTCAATAGGTTTTGTAGGACCTACAGATATGCTTCCGATGAATGAGGGGATACCTTCCAGTCATACAATAAAACCTATCCATACTGCTGACCGAGAAGTGTTTCGTTTGAACATCACGGAACCGAATCTAATAACCCTGAAGAATACGTTGGAATAGCATTTGCGAAACGAAGCCAGTATCATTCCCCCATTGTAATCCTCGAATTTCTTGGCCCGGAATCCATGCTTTTGAAAAGCACCAAGGCAGCCTACCCAAACCCAAGCCGTTCCCTGTAAATATATAGTAGCATGTTTAAATAGAGAACGTTTGATACCTTCCAAGAGCGCAACGTTATGAGCCTTGCTCATGAATGCATATAAGTTCTGAGAGTATTGCTGTAATAAGAGAAACACTTCGAATGACATATTTTTTGGAAAGCAGTATCTTTCAACGCAATCATATGATATAGAGTGATAGAATTTGCTTTGACTTTGGCTATGATAGAAACACGACGCATACAACTGCTATTTTACTGAAGAGCTAACTCACGAGATATCACCAAGCAACCCATTCATTGACTCCAAGCAGCGTAGAAGTGAGACCACAAAAAAAAAAAAACGATACGCACTCGTCGTGTTCTGTGGGTTACTCTACGATACAATAGTTGTTGCGATATTGCACACGGGATGAAACGTGTAGTGCTACGTCTAAATCGGGTTACGTGTTGCTTTACTGATACCTGTATTGGTTCTTTCCTGTGTAAATATTTGACGCAATAGTGCAATTAGAAATGGATGTACCCGCGATAAGCAGTTGGGCCGTCAAATCTGGTTTTGAGCAAGAAGATGCGGAGCTTCAGGAAGCGCTCAGAATGGCGGGATATATTGGCAAACTCATACCTCGAATTGTGAGACACGAGTTTACTTTACGTAGCCTTCTGCGCCACGCAGGCCCCGGGTGGGGATAAAGGACTCATCGGCGGTGCATGATGACTGAAATCATGACGTATCCAAATCACTAGGGGCGTAATTTCAGTTCAACCGGGTTTTTCATGGGGCAGCGATTGCCGCTGATGAGTCAGACTATCGACTGCAAGATTGAATGTACCCCCCGAATCGCTTTATCTGAAAAAACTGCGGGCATGGTACCCATAGATTGCAGGTCTTGCTTTATTCAGCATATCTATGCAGGCACTATTCAGCCCCTCTGGAGATGAAACCTGGAAATTGTGAGTTTCGTCGGGGAAACGAATTCGGGATACTTGCAGTTGGGGACGTAAAGTCGCACGACACATGGTGATTTGAGGTGCAACAGAGACATCGCCACCACTTGTTACCTCAACACTTGGCAATAAAGCCTCGCGATTTTGACCGGCAGAAAATGCTCCTCGCAGGGATCTTGGATCGTGGGCAGGTCAAGAGTCAGAACATCTGGCTTTTGTGCCCGGCCAATTCGGGTAATTCACATAAACGATTTTCATTATGTCCAAGGGGGCAAGAGGGAAGGAAGGGACCTCTTTGCTTCGAAATCGGGGCAGATTATGAGCGATATTGGCCCGCGACAGTTCTGGTCTTAAAACTCCGAAAACGACTAGCATTGCGTCGAGAAAGATTATCAGTATGTTTGTGTTGCTCCCGGGGAGCATTACGGGTCCGATGATATGCACCCGTCGATGAGTTTGAGGGACGAATGTGTTAAACGGTCGCACTGCGTCTCACGTGGGTGGTCGTGTGAAGCGGGGCTAGCAACTGTACCGGTCATATCATTAGAAGTTCAGCAGGTGTTGAAGAAGGCCCGCTTTTCCCTCGTAATGTGAAATCGTAGTGAAGCGCCACTAGCTGGCCTTCTTGGCGCCGTCACATTCAAAGTGCTTCCCACTTTCGGTGCCGCTTTTGGCCATCCGCAACAATAGTGAATAATCCGTTTTCACAGGCCATCTTTTTCCAATACTGGTTGAGCCATGTTTTGTACTCCACATTCGCGAACCGTTTGCCCGTGTAGGTTGTGCCTACCACCGGAATGTGTACCATTTTTGAGTTGTAGTGCCGCCATCCCTGACGGCATGCTGACAGTCTTTGGCAGGGGGGCAACTCTGTTGAGTCCGGCTTGCCTCATAACATTACGGGACTTCCTTTTGAAAGGAGCCCTTCATACTCACCCGTTTCTCAGGAATATACCATACGGAACTGTAGGCTGTTTAAAAGCAGCAGACCGATGCATTGTTTGTATTAATAGATTGCTTCTGCTTCCTCGAGGGTCAATTTGCGACTGTGTGGAACTCTCGTACAGCTCAAGCACCTTTGGTCGACCAATTCTCCGCAACAATACTTGAAAACGATTCGTTTTCTTCATTCAATCTTACGGGTAAGCGGATTTGGAACTTCACCAAGGTAAAACAAATCGCCACTAGACAAGAACTGTGGTTTGCATCTGACCAACCTGACGAAATTATTGCCTCTTCTACAATAACAACAGAAGAAGAAGACATGACTCACCCTTTGACTGCGTCGCCTTCTGTTGCAGCAGTTCGGATGGAAAGCCGTCAGGCGCGTCTAGATGCAGCAATTGCATTATTTCGGTCTGAAGCGTCAGCGTCCGGCTACGTTGTTGAAGAAGTTCGATTGCGGCTGCCGGTGCCGGACGTTGATGTTCTGCCGAGGGTGGTGATAGCACAGCAGAGTGCTTCTTCTACACCCCCACCCCCACCTTTCCCAAGGACAAAACAACATCGGCCATTGTACTCGTATCCTCGCCGTACATCTTTTCAACGAGAATATCCTCCAGTTCAGGAACAAAACCGGCCTTTTGTAAATCCTACAAAACGTTCATACGGGATTCCAGGCCGAGCGAACACAGACCACAATGGAAAAATACGACAAGGGGGTGCAAACACGGGATTCAAAAGGACAGTGTCAGGCTCGGTTATCTTCCACCCAGTTCCGGCTAAGGCAAATCCATCTCCGCAACATGGGACTGCAATTACTCAAAATGCTACCAATCCGGCACAGAAGAAGGGACCGCTGAGCTCAATTCCGTATTTGCCAACAAAAGATGGCAAGACGTTGCTTCAGCCAAGTGATCAACAAGACCGACACTATTGGAAAACCGTAATTGGAGGAGAAAGGGGAAAGCAGATTTTGCAAGCTGCGGAAAGTATGCAACGTCTCCGCCATGCTAAAACCGGAAAAATATATGAAGAAGCTGAAAAGCCAGTTGCAATGGACATCAGTGAATGTCCTGAGGAGAGAAAGGCTGATGTAGCTATGAAGCAGGAGCGAGCCGTCGTGGCCACAAGGGGTTCAGCGCAACCCAGAACGGAAATATACAAAACCACAAGAGGAGAGGGCACGCATCACATCAACGGGCACGACATTCCCGAAAGTGATGTTCAGCTCTTGCTGAGCAGTGCAGTAGACATCTCCGCTCGAAAGAAACAAGCAGCAACCAACATCATCATCAAATCTGAACGTGAATCTATCCGTGATCGAAAATCAAAACCATCCAAAACGATTCTCGCGGAGGTGGGCAAACAAAAGAGGGTCAAATCAACGTCCGTTTCCAATGGAAAGCATGGTTCGAGAAGGAGCAACTCTGATCGAAGAGCATCTGGATCATCGACAGCCAGGCCGTACAAATGTACGAAATGCCCGTCATCGTTTGACCGTGAAGGCCATCTCAGGGTGCATATCCTAGCTGTACATGAAAAGAAACGGCCTTTTGTGTGCCAAGTGTGTGATGCTTCCTTTGGGCACAGTTCTTCTTTGCTGCGGCATGTGAGAACAGTGCATCAGGCGTCACCTGCCGTAGGATCCGGCAAGACATGCATGTCATCAAGGAACAATCTATACAGTAGTGACTCAGCTACTACTAAGTCTGAAATTATATGTGATGATGCTCAAGATGATAGCGAAAAGCACTTTCGTTGTAGCGCATGTAGAATGGCATTCAATAGGGTCGCGTTATTGAATCGGCATGTTGCGGAAAAACACCCGCTGCAGACATCCTTGTCAGATACTGAGGATAATCTAACTAACCCGACGTGATCTTTAGCCTCGAAATCGTTGTTCTTAAGAAGCTCCTGTGTTAAAAAACATCTGTCATCGACTTGAACAAAAACTAAACAGAACAAAAAAACTCTTGCAACAAATCTTATGAATACGTTCTCCTTTATCGCATCGGGTCGCGCTATAGAATTACGGTCCAAAGAACTAAGAACGCTAACAAAACCCCGAATACTTTGAGTATCAGTGCACGATTTCCCGCAATACTATTGTAATACAACATTAGCTGATTCTGACCAGCGTCCATGTGAGTGACAGTCTCCTCAACATTTGCGTCAATTCGCTCAACGAGTTCACCTTGTTCCGAGACCATGGTGGCAAGCTGGTTGAATATTTGCCCAAGCTCAACAATCGTACTTTCTACTTGACGGACAGCATCTGCTCTCGCGTCTTGGTATGTTGTTTCCCCTGGTCTTCGCATCAAGGATAGATGTTGTGTGGTACCAGCGGTACCTGCATGACCGGTGCTTCCACTGGCCGCTGCGCCGAGGGAGCCTTGCCCTAGGTCTAGCGCGACATTTCCGGCAGGCTGTGTAAACATTGGAGCAGACGGCTGATTTGCCCCCATGAAGTGAGAGCGGCGATCTTGCTGCGCTGCCAGGCTATCTGTTCGCATCTTCAATACCTTCTTAAATCCCTCAGCGGTTGCACCTAGCCTCCCCTTCAACGAATCAACAACATTCTCAGAATGATCACCCGCGTGCTTGTTCGCGGAGCGTTTGGTGGCATCTCGCAATCGCTGTAAATCCGCGAGCTTTCCGTTGAGGGCTGCAATATCTTGCTTGATGACATACGTAAGTTCTGAAATTTCTGCGGTAGGGTCATTGAATAAGGAACGCCTCTGCGCGAGCTTCGTAAGCTCTGCAAGCTTTACGGAAGTTCCCTGGATGTCTTTGCCGACATGGGCTGCGAGACGCGTGAATTCGGAGCGTGGCGCTAGATGCACACTGGGAACTTTTGGAGGTGGCTTATTGCCTGGTGTGGACGCAGCTCGGGCAGCATCCAGAATTGTGGCGAACTCCGCAGTTCGGTTGCGCACCGAGGTGGGCGCGGCGAGGGTCATCCTCCAAGCACTTGAGCTTGTGGTGCCGGACGAAGTGGTCGGTTGTAGGACTGGGCCTGCCCGCCTCCTACGCATCGACCTCTTGACTTGTCGAGTACTTTTTGCCAATCCCAAGAGTCGCAAGTAAAAGTGAGCGGGAGTGCAGGACCGTCCAACTTGCGTAGTAGTTGGAAGAAGTTGCCGGTTGACGCCTGAGAGAGCAGCCTACTGAGTGTTTTTTGGTTCGTCTTTGGCTTGGCACTTAGGCGGTTACGCGCTGACACTAAAAAAACGTCCTTGCTGGCACTAGAACTTACAGAAAAGAATTCCAAATTTCGAGTCCTTCCCCGATGTATGAGACAATCAACTCCACTTCTAACGCATCTTGCGCCGCTTTCGGCGTTTCTCTGTCTTACATTTAAACCATGTTTTCCGAAACCTCGATGCCATTTGACATCAGATCCGCTACAATTTACATGCTAGCTAAGCCTTGTGCCTCCCGCAGGGTGGCAGAGGTATATGCTCTTGACTCCGCCCTGGTTCCGTCGTGTGTTACAATCATGTCAAGCAATAGTATTGTGCCTCATTCTCCATTGAACGGGAACAGATAAGTCCAGTTTTGCCTCATAAACCAAACAGTGTTCCCATTAGCTACGTGAACTGCAGAGACAATTTGTAGACACACCGATGCCATGACCGAACGATTCGGGTTCCTGGAACCGGTACTGAGACAAAAACATTCGCATCCGTAAAAAGAAGTAGTATACGAATACTCAGCCACTGGCACAAACCTCAACGTTTCCCTGACTACCTCTAACTCGCGCCTTACATGAAGGACATGCACCTAGGTGGTTCTGCAATGAAACGCTTGCTTTTCACCCCAAACCAGAAGTCCACTTGCCCCTCTGCTCGAAGCATGCCTATGCGCTAAGAATGCAGTGACCTTCTCCTTTCAAAACGTCTCGCAAGCAAAGAAACATCAGAAGGCTGAATATGTCAACAAGTAGCCGTATTTGCGGCCATTCCCGTAGGATCATTATAATATGGCCCTTAGTTGCTCAATAATGGACTCTTTTTCAGAAGCGCAAGAGTGCTGTTATTACGAATACGATTATACCAAAAAGCTCATCTGCAGCTTCACTCAGAAATAAGCGATTCGTACTTCATCGAATTGTATTTCCAGATCCCTTGTTATGTTCGTCAGTCCAGTTGTCCCACTCTCTCTTTTCCATAGTTTCCCTATCTACAGCCTCATCCCCGTCACTGTCTTCCTCTTCCTTTCGTTTCGCTTCAACAATGTCTTTCTCCTTCTTCTCTTTTTCGAGTTTGATTGCCCTTTCCATCTCAATTTGACCCCACTCTTCAACCGTATACGTAGGCAACGAGTGGCTCGGTCTGAACACACTTTCCTTCATCTTTTCCTTTTCACTCACAATCCGGAATGTTGCCGGTAGTCCGCCCAGTCCTGGCGGTGGACCCTTGGGTCGTGCGCGCTCCGCCTTCTCTCGCGGATCCACTCCTTTCTCAATTTGGCGTACTGCGAAGCGAAGTACTTCCAGCTCTTGGTTCGTCGAGTCTAACATATCAAGTGATTTCCTCACAGCGTTCTGAACAACAGTAAGGACGAGTTCTCTCTCTGTTTCGTCGTCATCCGCGTCTGCAGCACCTGCGTTCTCCCTGAGTACTGCGAGTTTCCGCGTGGCCTCTTTCTCAGCTTTGAATCGGGCGATTTTGACATCGCGGCGCTCGGCCGGTGTGACGCTATGGATGGGTGTATCATCGAGAGCGGCGTCACGCTCCCGTTCAGAGAGCATTCGCAGGCGGTCCGCCTTTTCGAAAAATTCGGAGAGGTATCGACGGCTCTGAACCAACTCAGCGTGACGTTCATGCGGTTCACCCTGGACTTGTGCATGTACGCGTGCGAGAAGATAGGGAAGCAATAGATACTTGAGAGACGGAGTCGGAATCTCGTCGAGTTCCTCGTTCGCAGAGAGAAGCGCTGCTTTCGAGACTGCGTCGGACAGGCGATTGAGGGAGGCAATTGATTCTGCGACGGCTTCGAGTTGGATGGATTGTGTTCGTGGAGGAGGGTTCGGGGCCTGAGAAAGGTAGGAAAGTGATTCCCATGGTTCGTCCACGGCTTGAAGCTTAGAAACGGCAAATGCGAACTGCTCGTCGAGAGGGGCGGATGAATCACCTGACATGGTGGGAATCGTTAGGCCTTTTGGGATAACTGAGAGAGCGTGTGGATCTTAGGATGCACAGAGGTTGCGAGTGATCAAGAAGCAGTTTTCTGTGCGCAGCTGCTGCCGGAAACGCCGGAATTGCTGCGAGGAAGTGCTGCGAGGAAGTGCTCCGTCTTGTAAATAAGGAACTTTCCCAACTTCGGTCAACAAAACTGCAGCGACACAGGGTGATCCCGGTCCCTAGTATCCCGCGTTACTACTTGAGTAGCAGTGGTTATTTAGCTAAACAGTACGGTGTGCCATTCCACACTCGTACAGTACACGTGTACAGTAGTTGGGCAAGCCTGCAATTGGTTTCAGAATTTGATACACGTGTTATTTTCATGTTAGGAAGGGCCAGTCAGCAAAGTACTGTAGCTGAGTTATCTGCTGTATACAGTATATTGCTGTAAGCGTTTCGAAGCGAAGTGCAACTGACTGAAAGTCCCTACGAGGTCCCTACGACGGCGCCCACACTGGCCCTTAATCTTGAAGTTCGTATCCTGCAGCATCGCTTCGTTCGGCTCCAGGCTCTTTAAAGCACTATCGCTCCCACACAAACCGAGCATGGCGGTTGAATCCCAGCATAGTGACGGGCCGTTAGCCATGAAATTGCCGGAGCCTGAAAAAGGCGTGCCGGAGGCAAGCGACAAGAAGCATTCAAAGAAGCGAAAGAAGAGGCAAAGAGGACAGAAGGCTAGAATTCTTGTCGTCAGACCCATTGGAGAGGGAATGAGGGAGCGCCCGATTGGTAAGGGGAAAGTCAGACAACTGGATATCTTGCGAGGAGACCCGAACAGCACCAAGCTTCCGCGAAAAACGAGAGAATTGCTGTCAATGATGAAAACGTTTAATGGCGATACGTCCAAGGGCAGTGCCGCCACGCGAAAACCAGCATCTGCGAATGACGAATCCCATCGGGAGTTGAGTCGTGCTGCAGGACATGGACCAGCAGAATCGAAGGCCGATGCGCGAGAAGGAGAAAAAGACGAGGGTGAAAAAGGTGGTCTTTCAGACGCTAAAAAGGACAAAAAGAGAAAGTTTGAAGGGATGCAGCCTGGAGAGAATTTTGCCCAGTTTTCCGCAAGATTGCGAAAGGAATCTCGGCAGATGATCATAAAAACTGCCCGAAGCAGCAACCACCAACGTGAGAAAAAGCGCGCATATTATGAAAAACGAAAAGAACGAGCTCTTCGACGGAAGCGTCGACGACAGGGCGATTTCAGTGATACTGACGTAGAGGAGGGCGGCGATGATCACTGGGACGAGAAGAGCTCCATAGCACATCTTCCGTCATACTGGCAGGAAATTGTACACAACAATGGAAGACCAATATCGGAAAAGCGAAAGAAGCGATTACAGAGGCAAGAAGACCAAGCGGTTGATCACGTTCAATTTGGAGAACAAGCCGAGAGACCCCCGGAGTTCTCATCTCTGCCAGTGCGACGCGGTCGCAAAAACGATGTCTAGTGGAAGTGGAATTAGTTTTGTCACAAACCCCTGCATGTTGCCGTTTATTACAGAGTCAAAGTTGTACCGCCACGGCTAATGAAAAGGAGTTGCTGTTTCTGTCAAAGGCATGTTTGTGTATTAAGTTTCGTGTACATTGAAAGCGGTAGGCGACCGGATTCCAGAAACCGCCGGGTTAGCAGTGCGGCGATCTACTTCTCCAGAGGAGCGCTGCGAAGAGTATTGTGAGGAGGCACACATGGTGACATGTGTTGCTAGAATATTAAACGGAGCAGAGCACTAGAGAGAACATAACATTCTATCCCAATCAAATGAGGCCGACTCAATTCGTAAGAACGCCAATCACGATCCCTCCGATGATAATAAGAACCAAAACGACGATAATTATCTGCATTTTTGTGTTCTTCCACCACATCTTGTCCTTTGCCCTGTTCGCCGATCTTTGGAAGCCCGTTGCTTCGTTCTTCATAGTATCTGTCTGATCAAGCAATGTCTCGATGTTTTCCTGGTTACGTAGCACGTTCTGAATGTTATTCTGCATGACACCTTTGACCTCTTCCACTTGAAGGCTCACTGCGGCGACTTTGTCTACGTTCTGCACACTGTTATATTTCTCACAGAGCGATCTCAATAACTCCTTTGCGGGTCTGCTGAGGCCTGACTGGCGGGCGGTTTGGACATCATTACCAAAGCTAGCGTCAAATTCGCGCCGCACCTCTCCAAGGAACTTGAAGGCATTGCGTTGTTGGTACTCACGCGCACAGACGACAAGATACAAGCAAACAGGGTCGGAGTCGTAGTGAATGGATCCCACTTCCCGGTCCGTGATGGTGAGGCGTGTATGCTCCTCAACACGGCCTGACCTGAGCACTTTTTCCAGTTTCTCGTCGAGCAATTTCGTAGGTACTTCGCGTGAGTCGATGGCAGCATATTCCGCAACAGGGACGCGGTCAGTTAGACGTGCAACAGCAACATAGCGGATGTTGTCGGGGGTTTCCTGTGGGGCGTACACACGATTAGTGGGTTATGATAGGTGCAAGGTTAGCTGCTGGCTTGGTAGGAAAGGGAAAGTGAAAACGGGCGCAGAGGGAGATGGGGAAAGCGCACCATTTCGAGACGGGGTACTGGCGCTATGCAATGTCAAGCGTGGCGACCAAAACCGCTAGTGAATGCGAGAAAGAGACCGCAGGCGGCGAAGAGGTTGCAGCGGTCGACAAAAGCGACAAACGCGCAGAAGAAAAAGGCAGGAAGAACGAGGAATTGGTAAGGTGCGGAATGAGGCACAGATGTTTCCTCAGAGGGATGTTTAAGTGAGAGACGGGAGGGGGGGACAGCGTGTGCGGGGGCGTCGTCTGGAGTTGATGACAATGTGGTGGAGGGAAAAGCATCCAGCAAGGGAGTGGTTGGGGCAGAGATTTTGAGGTGTGTACAAGGGCAGAGAGGGCAAGGAGACTGGCACAGCGCAAAAATCCAGTTAAATAAATTCATATTGAAAGGAGGAGGCTAATTGGGCGCTCACTACTCCATCAAATGTTTCTATCGATTTTTGCCACGCGGCACCACACCTCATCCTGCGTCCCTCCCGATCATTTCTACTAAACCTCCTGCTCCCCTGCCATACACGCTGTCAACAATTAGTGCAACTGCTTATTAAGTTCATCAGTTGTTTTCCGCGACCCTTCCTTCAAGCCATCGAAAATCCCCAAAAAGCCTGTTTCCAGATATTCATCGGGTCGTTCTGCTATTCGCTTCCTTGATCTTGAGTCTAAATTTTCACCAGATACAGTTTCTCGAAAATCTCCTTTTGTAGATACGACAGGCACGCGAAGGAAACTCCTCTGCTAGAACCATCCCAGGAAGCAGCGCACAGTCACGCTTTCAAAAACACTCTTCAAAACTAACTTCACCTCCGCCCAGTTCAGGATCTCAGCACGAAATCAGGGCAACGTTTCAATGTTGTTCCCTTCACCCTTACGAATTGACAATCTAGGCCTACTTTCCCTGTCAGCCATTGCACACAATATGGAGATACTTGAGTTTAAAATTCCTGCCTCGTCCGACCAGGCTTAGAATCTTTCAATTCTTTAAGGAATGCCTTCGCGCCTTGAAAGTTACCGGCAAACATTAACCGTAAACATCTAACATCACCCTGTAAAATACACTATTTCGACACAGATGTGCCACCTTCTTATACTCTCTAAATATGGCATCCCGTGACTCATGAACCCATTTCCTTCAATTCTGCAATCAGAAAAATTCAAATACTGTCTCTTCCACGCTTCATACCAAACTTGTAGGACCTCTAATCTCTGAGCACGTGATAACAAAAGGAGCTTCTCCACTATACTCAGCCGAACACTCTCGCTACAGTATTCCTTCTGCTTATCGTGGAGAGCTCGTGTTTGAGTTGTCAAGGGTGACAGCAGCGGCAAACGTCTTCACATAATCAGCTGAGTAGCCACCGAACTCAGTAACGACCATTTCACACTTCTGAAGCGGCACTAAATCATAAATGCTGGAATGTACGGAAATTGCATCATGCTTGCGATCGTCTCTGGCTTCCTCATAGCACCACACCTTTCCTGGGCTTCCAGTCTGCTGGCTCATGATTGCTACGCTGGCGTTCCCTACTGGGACGATTCGATGACGAGCCATAACGAGTACCACCGGTATCCTCATCCGGTTTGCAGCGGCTGTAATGATCCCGCTTCCCGAAAAACATAGACAACCGTCATCCACGTCCATTGCGATTGCCCGAAGTATCACCTTGGTACAGCGTCGCAGTTCAGAAGTGATATGAGAATCTCGAATAAGACGTGTTTTCAACCCAGACACATTCTTTAGCCGGCCATATGTAGCACGAGCTTTCCCTTCGTGATCTGGCGCCACTTGCACGATTGCTACGCGGATTGGATTCCCTATTGCGATGGGATCATCGGAAAGTGCTTCAGCGGCATCTCGTAGTGCAGCTTCCAAGACCGTCCCTTCGTCATTGCCTAGCATCATGATTGAATCGCCACCAGAAAACATCGCCGAGGTCTGTTCGACGAGTTCATTTTTGGCTTCGCGCACTTCATCGAGTAGGGCGTCAAGGTCATGTTCGATTGAATCTGAAAAGGATTCATTAAGAATATATAGAACGCGGCCGGCGATGGCCTCCAGAATGCACATCTGCGGGATGAAAGGTCGCAGTTGGTCGCGAATCTGGGTCACAGTTCCGGGTGGGTCTGCAGATGTTAGCGCGGCCACTCGTAGTAGAAGGCAAATCCGTTCCGCTAACTCATCAAGGGGCGTGTTGCCCGCTTCGGATAGACGCATAACCTCTTTCGAGGCCTTGCGGAGAGCTTCGGAGAGCACTGGGGTAGTGTTTGACATTGCAGTGGATCGGTGTTAAGTAGGAGTTCAAGAGAAGATGCAAGATATGTTCGTCCAAGTTTCCGTTAAGATACACAGAAGTCCAGTACGCACTTTCATACCACATAAACTGTGTGTGTGTGGGGTCAAAAACGGCGAATGCAATCGCCTAGCGAGGTTGGTCAAGGCGTCTGCTTCCAAGTAGCAAATGTGTGATTGTGGCGGATGTCCGCAGTTGTGTTGTGCCAACAGGTGCCAGCGATTCGGTCAAAGGCAACTGGTGAGTCTTTGTTAATCGATGCAATACCTAAGCTGCGATACGGGCCGTGTACGGTACTGCGCCGCACTCGATCCGGATCAAGAGGTGGGGTTACCGTAGCCTTGCTTCTGACTGAGGCTTTTTAGAGTTCCGGAAACACGCCCCCCTGTCAAAGCACTCCATTTGGGAAAAACAGGATGACACGTGTACGCTGGACAGGCACAGGCAAAGACCTCTCTCTGCCTCGCGCTGGACTCTGGACGTCACCGGCACGCGAGTTGCCAGACTTATCAGTTGCGCGCACTATTAGTCGATGCTTTTCACACCGTATGGATCAGCGCAGTTAACATTCACATCACACAACACTTCCAATGTTAGAGTGGAAGTCTGCGTTTGTCCATCTTCTCTGATGGGTCGCAAAAGAGGGCGTTCTTCGCGAGAACAACATGCAACGAAACGGAGACGAAGACCACAGCAATCGCCCGCACCCACAGACCTCGACTACATCTCAAGAGATGACTATGTGGTCATCGAAGATTTTCTTTACGTGCGCCCATACGTCTTTGAGTTCAGAATGAACTTTAGACCAAGATGGAGAAATCAGACAATCTACAATGTATTTTGCCAAGAATTCAAGCACACGGATGAGGACTACTGGAAGAAAGAAGTTCGAGACGGTCGCGTCTTGGCCGATGGGAGGCCAATCAATGATTCCGCTTTGTGGAATGATGGCATGGAAGTCGTCCATGTAGTACATCGCCACGAGTCTGCGGTTCTTTCGGCCCCTATTTACATAGCCCGTGATGAAGATGACTTCGTAGTTGTATCGAAGCCACCCTCTCTTCCCATACATCCATGTGGCACTTATCGAAGAAATTCCCTCCAATTTGTCCTGAAAGCATTCTATAATACCGGCAAACTTCTCGCTGTTCATCGCCTAGATAAGGAAACCTCAGGTCTCGTAATATTTGCGAAAACTCCAGAGCGTGCTGCTCAGTTTAGCACCGAAATCAAAGAACACAAGGTGCAGAAAACATATTTAGCAGAAGTAGAGGGACTTTTCCCAGCACGGTTATCTGAATGCAATGAGTCCGTGTTCTGGGATAAGCGAGAAATGAAGGCATCTGTCCGGCAGGAGGGCATGGAGGCAAAAACATCCTTCAAGTTGCTAAAAGTGAACAGAACAAGGCATTCGAGTATCGTAGAGTGTAAGCCATTGACAGGTAGGACACATCAGATTCGCGTTCATCTTGCGCATTTGGGATTCCCAATCGTTAATGACCCTTTGTATGGATCTCAAATAAGACTGCAGAAAACAAACCTGGTTTCGCGGGGCCCAAGTCCACTCTCGATTTCCTTAACGCACCCTAAACTTGCGGAGAAGAGCACGGCCTCGGAGCTACGGCAGTCCTATCTCGCCTGTGAATGGGCTAGAAATTCGTTTAAACAACGTGGCCAGCATCTATCCTGCATGGAGGAAGGGCAAATGCTGTCTTGTTTCAACTGCCCACAGGTAACCAACGTGAAAAATGTGGCCGTACAACAGATGTTTATCCATCTTCATGCGCTCAGATATGAATCTGACAACTGGAAATTCGAAGTGCCTCCCCCTCTATGGATGGAGCAGAAGCGAGATTCTGCAACGACTGGTATCGGGAATGTAACATCAAGTCTTTCTAACTGTATCTTGTCATAAGATTTATTCTGGACACATTAAAGACTCGGCAGTTGGTACGCCGGTTTTCGAATTCACCCCGGTGGCCTTCTTGCAAAGCTTTAAAGTTGTAGCTTTCCCGAGGAGGCTATCCGAAAAGTCAGCCCCCTCTATATCGGCACCTTCAAACGAGGCGCTCACTAGGTTGGCATTTGTAAAGTCTACATAAATGTTAGGATCTGGTCAAAAACGATACTATACGCCACTGAATTTCCACGTCTTGGACCTGTGTAGGTCCGAACATACCTGCATTTCTGAGGTTAGAATTCTGAAACTTCGCGTTGGTGGCCATAGCATTTACGACTGTGGCATCCTCGAAATTTGCCCCAATAAACTGCAGATCAAGAGAAGTTGTGCAAGTGCGGCATCCAAATAATGCGAACAACAGGGTTAGAGAACTCAAAAAGGCACGCTGCTCCCTGAAAGACAGGGCCGTGCGTTATGCTACATGTGTTCTGTATACCTACATTTGCGTCGTCTAGTTGAGCATTGGTGAGGTCCGCCCCGGCGAAATTAGCTTGCTTGCAATTCGACTTTGAAAATATGGACGCGCGCAAGTCTTTTCGGTTTGAAAAGTCTGCGCCACTTAGGCTTTGGTCATGGTCAAAAATCAGAGGCGCATCCTGCGCAGAGACATGTGCAGGTGACAGCATTGCAGCAGATAGCATCATCGCTGCTGCTGCAGGAGCAACCGCCGCACGAATGCGCTCCAAATTGCATCGAGGTGTCGACGCAGTCGCACTTGGTTGGACGGAGGCGAAATGGAAGATGCTAAAGATAAACGCCATCTTCGCGCAGACCAGGCACTTACGATGAGTTAACAGGAAAGCCAGATGCTGTCCGGGACAAAAATCTTGAGCCTGCAGAAAGAGCCTTTACAGAAAGAGCCTACAGAAAGAACCTACAGAAAACCCTACCGGTCACTTCTAGGAATGGTACAGAAAGCGGTCATCGATAAGTTCGATTTCCTTCATGTATTTTTCGTGATTTTTTTTCCTGCATGAGTTGAGATCAGTGCATTGGACCTTTGAGATTGCAGCGACACAATCGCATACCTTAATCTGTGGCAGCTTGTATCTACACGCTGGTTTTGCGTTGAATCAAGCGACTGTGGTACGGAGAAGAACTGGTACAGTACAGCGGCCAGCGGGATGCCGTGTTTTGTGGCAAGTATTGTCTCTGGAAGAGTATCCCAACGTGTGTCTGCGGTGTCTCTGCTATCCTCTCGGAAGTCTCAACTGCACTCTGCTTATAAAGTCCGCCACCAGCTCCAGGCCTATGTATTAAGGAGCGCTCCTGTATCTCGCCGATCACAATGCTCACAACAAAACGCTACGATAAGAATGGCAGATGATTCAACCGAAGTTTCTCTCCCAATAAAGATAGGAGCTTTGCTGGTCGTGGCTGGATTTATTATCACAGCCTTCCTTCCCGCTGCTGGGGTCATCAAGAATGCACTCACTGATAACGGGGATAACGTCGTGGACTATCAACTTAGTAAGGTTCCGGTATTCACTGTAACGGATGCCTCTGGAAGACCTTTTCTCTCAGAGACCGAGGATCATCGCTCGCGACTCGGATACTTCTTCATCCAACCTGCTGACGCCGAGCTATTTCTAAACCGTGTCAAAAACGAAAATGCTGATGCAAAGGTGCTAACGGTCGGTTTGAACGAAGCTGTGAAGTACTTGGACTCGAAACCGAGGTCGTCGAAGTCCATCCCCGAGACCTTTTCTTTGTTTCCAGATGAGCATGAGTCACAAATAGCACAAGATATCACGGACGGGGCGTTTCAGAGAAACTTTGGGCCTTCCGGAGTTCCCATTTTTTATGTGGACGGGCTCGCACTCAAAGAAGACAAGGAGGGACAGGCTATCATACCACTGTTCTTTGAGAAGGAAAAACTCGATGAAACCCTTGAAACTCTAAAAAAACAAAGCCCGGAAATCGTCATTGAAATGAAAGATCTGCAAGTCATTGACCTGAACCAGACAATCAAAGAAATACGAACCGGCGGTAATCCTAAATTCAACCGCATAGCTTTTGTCCCTCTCACGGAATCGCTGAAGACCATGAAGGAGAGGCAGGCCAAAGAGAGCAGCTCTTGAAAGCTGCTGCACATCTGCACCCTTACTGGTTATACGAAACCGAACAGATCGCGTGATGAGCTGTGAATCCTACCTACAGCCTGATGAATCAGCTCCTCTACATCATGCGGGATTATTTAATCCATATCAATGCACGTTGTTAGTTTCTGCGTTGTGATGTGTACTGAATGGCATTAAGACGCAATGCCACGGAGTTGAACCACAAATTCTTGCATTGACTATACAACTAATCGAGCTTTGAGGCATCTGTGATGCACGGACAAGAAATGTAGATACTCTTAGGGCACTCCCTCACATGCAGTAACTTGATCAAGAGCTGGCAGACTCATCCACTGACAGCAACTCGTAAGAAATCCCGCACATTTACTGACATAATTAAAATAGGTTGCTAAGTCGTGCCGCGGTGTGGGCCGTGTAGAAGAATTATTTCATTCCAGTAATACCTGACGTACTGCACATGTCTTCACCACGAGCTTGTTTTAACCACAGTACTCTGTACCTCGGAAAACGGTGAGGGTTGCCGTGCTCATGACCTATTCACCAGTCGCGGTGAGAACGAAAAAGATTGTGTTTCATATGACGGCGGTCTTAAGCCTTGTGTACCAAATCAGGTCGCCAATGCTTCGCTCAGGACCGGCTATAACTGGCATTACCTGGCCTTCATTTGAAGTCCATGCTACGGGGCGTGGTACTACTGTGTATGGCCTTTCAGCAAATCGCCTTTCGAAGCATTGCGGGAATCCGAATCGTCCCTCCACATGGCCAGAGCCAATAAGCGCAACCATTCTCGTACCAGGGTGCGCTTTCAAAGAAAGAGAAACAGATTGGCTCATCCATTCTTCCCAGAACACCTGAGCCTGGTAGTACCTTGCAAGAAGGGGATTCCTTGCTTTGCAATCGACATCACCATGTCCAGCTCCCAACAACCCCACAAAGTGACGGTAGTGCTCCTCATTCCCGAATTCCATGTTTTCCGGCATCACCTGCTTCAGTTTCGGTGGCAATCCCTCTAATCCGTATTTGCTCACCAGTTTCACAAGCTGAATCGGTGCGTTGAGTCCCACCATCGGGATTTTATGAATTCTGCAGTACTCGAATATCGGCGCGTACAGCCTCCAATCAAACCCCCAGGTCTGATCCCAGTTTGTTTTTTGCAAAAGCTCTGTCACAGTTAGATTTCCTTGCACGAATGCGTTCAGGAACGGAGTGTGGCTCCTGTAGAATTGTTCAAACCCAACAGTGAGCGGCATACCATCAGGAAGATGCTTTGCCTCGTTGATAATGGCAAGCTGTGCTGCATGAGTGTAACAGTTGTCGTGAATTTCAGCAGCCACGATGCAGTGATTGAAGAGGTTTCCGACATCCCTCCGCAAAAGTGCAGGTACAGCAGAAGTGGGAACGAAAGACCCACTGTGCGAATCATACAACCTTTCCCTTCCCGGGGTTTTGAAACCAGACGCTTTCGAAGGGGAGGGCGGACATATTAAGGGTGCTAGAGAGGCAAGGCCTAAATGATAGAGCACTTTCCGTCGGGTTTGAGACGGTGGAGACGGTGGAGGCAAAAGCACGTTAGAGGTACAAAGTGCCCTGTTAATGCGATGAAACGATTGCCTCTTCTTCTGGAGTGGAAGAGGGGAAACATGAAAGCTAAGTGCCATCCTATCGCAGGTCCATGGACACTTCGATCAGCATCATAGTCAGCGAGACAAGGGTGACAATCTCTCTAAGTAAGTAGTCACAGGCAAAAGTCCGCGAACGCATTTTTGAACCCAAGCAGATCGAACAATACGGTACGCTCAAACGGGTGATATTCAAGCGGCAGTTCGTCAGAGATGAGCAGGAGCAGTGCGAGACTCAAAATTTGAGTCGGATTAATGTTGTCACCTGCATTTAATGCAGGTGAATCCGAAATATCTCAAGAAATTAGGCTGTTGGCGAATTAGATGCGGCTTTCGGAAATCTGCTGCGTTCTGCCGCACTCATTCGTGCGGGAAGAGGGAGGGGGGCGGCTGTTGATTGCACGACATACGCAGGTTGCTTAATTCCTAGAATCTCAGCCACGAAGAAGCGTTATCAGGGATGCACAGACCACCCCCGACGCGTGATGCTGTCGAGAACTGTACTGAAAAACCTTGGTGGCGTGTTTTTTAGAAAGAGGGCAGTGATGTCCATCTCAAGACAGGGACTTCCGAAGGGGATCCACCTTCAGAACTGTTTCTTAGACATTCCTAATTCGGTTGATCCCTCTGGATCCCTGAAAAGCAGAAAGGGCTGTGTCAAGTGTACCGATGGCAGCCGCTACGCAATAATACGGACAGCAACCGCTACGGCTGGAGCCATGAAGCTATTCTTCGTCTTCGCCATTGGCCAACCTACTCGGACGTTCCGGTTCCGCATACAGCACGTCATCCCATGGATGACGATAAAGCGGCTGCTTCATCCGCTTCTGGTCCAGCGCATGGCCGATAAACCCAATGCTACGGCTCAATGTAAACAAACCATTCAAGCCTCCCAGTTCCAAAACTTCCATAACCTCACTATCCGAATACTTCCCGACTCCCTTTAGCATGTCTGCAAACAAGGAGCCAATGGCACCGTCAATATTGAGCACCAAGTTGTTCGCCTTCTGTAGCGTGTATTCTTCCACTTTTTTGGCGTAGAGGAAAGTCCCCATTTCGGGAAAGTGCTGCTTCGCGTAGTTGGCGAGAAGCTCCACGCGTTTGTCCCGGTTTTCGGCTGTTTTGATACGATGCCCGATCCCTTCAACTCTTTGCCCCTTCTTCTTCAGACTCTCCACAAACTCATCTGGAGGAATTTGAGAATCGCACGCACGTTTGAAGTTGATCGCAGCTGCATCTACAGCACCTCCAAATCTTGGCCCAATTGTCAGGAGACCACTGCACAGAGAGGAGATCAAGTCCTTTCCAGCTCTTGCTGCCACGATTGTGTTGTGAGCACCTGACACACAGGGCCCATGGTCAGCGGCAGTCACAAGAACGAGTTCTATGAATTTCGTCGCCCACTTGGGGAATAGCGTTTTGAACCACAGCAAGGAGATGACATCTCCCATTGTATAATCCTTCATAATCTCTGAGATTGGAATTCCAACGTATGTCGGTTCTTCGCCCATATCATTGGAGATTGTGCACACGATGTTAGTAGTTTTGCGGACCTCTCCAGCCTTGATTGCCGATGCAAGATCCTGAGGCAGATTCGGTGGCTCCACATCCTCGGCGGGCTTTAGTGAACCGTCCTTCACCATGTCTTGGTAAACGGAGGCTATCAAGTCGGCAAAGCCATCGAAGTTTTCCGGAACATGCGCCCCAGCATCTCGTAGCGCGTTGTTCTTCGCCTCGGCCCCCTCGTCTTCACCGCCAGACTTGGCTCCGGCATGCCCAAACTGCACTTCCGCGGCATTAAACCAATTCGCGCAAGTTCCACTAACCCAAGCCACAACAGGTTTTTTGATCCTCCCATCTTTGAGTCCTTCGACGACTCCGTATTCATCACTACCTCCTAGTTCGCCAAGCAAGACGACAAGTTTAACTTCGTCCATACTCTGATAGCGCAGGACGTGATCTGCCAAACCCGATCCAGCATACGCATCACCGCCAACAGCGATCCCCTCGTAAAGGCCATCCGTGACGCGAGCAAGCACGTTGTACATCTCATTGCTGAGCCCGCCTGACTTTGAAACGAAGCCAACGCTCCCCGGGCGATGTAATTTGCATGTGATGATATTCTCTACGGTTCCCGCGGTGTCACCAATCTTGAAGGCACCGGCCTGAACACCACCAACAGTTGCCGGTCCTATAATTACCTTGGAGTTGCGGTTGGCGTAGGTGATCAGTTTCTTGGTGTCCCTCTCTGGAACTCCTTCGGCGATAATTGCAATGGTGCGGATGGACGGTTGTTTGAGCGCGACGTACGAGCTGGAATATGCGGAACGGTAACTCGCAAAGTTGATAAAGACGTCGGAGCTCGGATGGGCGGCGGCAGCAGCCTCTGTAGAACCATAGACCGGAATGGCGACCTCTTCCTTCCCGAAGAAGGCTTTCTGAAATCCTCCTGGTGTCGCACCAGGTGATACGATCGCTGCTACACTGGGCTCGGCTCGTGCACAGATAAAGTCGAAATCAAGCATACGCTGGATCGGATTCTTCTTGTAGTTGTAAAAAATTGCTGTGGTTTTGCGAGAAAAAAGGGCACCAGCTTCCGCAGCTGCAGAAGTCGACATCATCGTAGATGCTACCATGACAAGGGTTATCGAAACCAATTGAGCTTAGTAGACACCCTCGGAGCTGAATGCACGCGGCAGTCGCCAAGGTGCGTGGGCAACTTGCACAAAAAGGAATGCCAAATGAGTAGTTGGAAAAGGTGTGGTGCAGATCACGATCTGCAGTAACGCTCACTGCTCGTGAGTCTGCGTTTCAGAAATAAAGCAATAATAACAATGCCGCTTTGTTTTGTTCAGTGCTGTACGTCTCGTCAAGCACCAATCAACTACAGTACTTCGATTAACACCACAACTTCAAGCAGCGCACACGACTGTGTTTCGGCTCTCAATCATGTTCCGCATCTTAACTTGACCATGCACCCTTCTGGGCTTCTTATCGGTACACCACTACTGGATGTCACATTACTGTATGACACATCCGCACAGCAGACTACTGTAGAGGAATTCAAAAAAATTACACTGTATTTCCCATGCGGGGCTTGAACCCGCGATCTTCCCGGTGAAAGCGGGACATCCTAACCACTAGACCAATGGGAATTGCACTACGTCGGTTTAAGCGGCAATGCAAATGGTATTTAAATCATCGAAAGGCCATCCAACAAGGTGACTGTAAGCGCCGCCTCCCTTACAGCTGAATAAACTACCCATAATAAAGCGCCCCCTTTATCTAGTGAAACATAAATGAATTTGACTGTAAGCGAACCCCTAATGCATTGAATAACCCCCGCCCCCCCCCCCCTCCGGTCCCAACTAACCCTCCATTGTCGCATGGCACCCGGGCTTGCCATGACACATGCATCATCTTGTCCACCGCTGCACCGGTTTCTCGATTTGGTCAAGCATCGAGGCTACCATCTTCACTCACTCGTCTTCTCCACATGCGAGCCCCTCTTACAAACCCCAATCATATCCTTGATAGCGGCTGCATGCGGCAGGTCGTGCTCGTTAAATTGCCTTGAACAATCTGTACTGTAATAGTATATTTTTTCGTCTTTGACGTCATCAGCGACCACAGACCCGGATCTCCTCCAGCAGCAAGTCTAACGAACCACTTCATGCTGCAGACGTAGTGTACGAACATACAGCATGATTCGGCTAGTCGTCGAGTTCGGCAGGTGCACACCGTACCATACGATAGCGTCTCCCATTCCGCAGCACTTGCGCTTTTGGCCCAGAGACATCCCGCATCCAACAATATATACCGCATAGCGCTCACTGAGCACCATTCGCCAGTCCTGTATTGTACCAGAAGGGTACGTAATTCGACGAAACTTCAGATGTTGATTCTTGTGAAACACGTGTACTGTATCCTTCAGGAGGGGGTCGCGATATAGTGCTACCCTGTGTCAGTGGGCCGAAAACGACACTATATCGAACCAGGCACTGTAAGATAATGAGATTTACGGCTTTTTTGCACACTTCCTTGCATCACTGCTCAGAAAGACCGCTCGCAGGACGCCATCACTCATACTTTGCATCTTCACTACAGGCTCGAGTCTAATCAAGCATTTCTGTTATTAGTAGCTGCCGAGCCGTTGCATTGACTTCCTCCTTTTTCGCAGCCATAAATGCCAGCCTACACTTTTGCAGATGTCCAATTGCATCATCGACCCTGCCTTTTTCCGCCATAGTCTCTATTCGAGTTGGCAACTGCATAATATCTTTCCGCGGCGGCAGCGGCTCTCGGGCAGTACATGTCCATCCAACTGCCTCCCTGGAGACCCTTCGTTTTTGGCTCAAAATTCGTGCCACCTGCAGAAGGGTAGCACTATATCGGAGCTGGCACTAACAAATATGGCACTATATCGCGACCCCCCGCTTAGTGTACATATGATAAGTATTAACTTAACTTAATACAGCATTTTTGGGAAAAACTTTACCCATTGGCAAACAAGGCTACTGAGCACTTGCCAGACGCAATTTTGCATCAAGGGAAATGAGATTTCAGAGGCATCTATCACGTACGACATCAAGGGACTTTGAGATCTCAGGTGCATTTTGCGGGCAGCCCACATCAGACCGGGGCAAGTCTCGAATCGTTGGGACCGAGAGCCGTAGCCTGCCTGGACCCTGAAGAAATCCACTCGCCCGTCCCCTAGTATTGGTATTTCATTTCGATCAACGTACGCCCGTGGGTAAGCCTTTCGTTGAGGTTGAATACCCCCCCTAGCCATGCTGCGGTTGCTGGCGGGGGACGTAGGAGGGACGAACGCCCGCCTTGTCTTGTACGAGGCTCCCAGCGATGCCACGTCCTTGCGCGATGAAAAAACGATGCCATCGCACAAGGTGCTTGCCCAGATGTACTACAAAAACAATGACTTCCAGTCATTCACCGAAGTTCTCTGCTCGTTTACCTCCCTTCCTGCTGTGCGAGACAGAAAAATTGATTGCTGCTGCTTGGCCGTCGCTGGACCTGTCTCAGACAACCACATCAATTTCACGAATAGAGAGGGTTGGATTATCGATGGTAACGCAATAGAGGAGGAGTTCGGAATCGATTTCGTCGTCCTTGTGAATGATTTCGTCGCCAACGGGTATGGTTTACTCTCGCTTTCTCACCAGGAGCTTGCTTCACTACAAGAAGGCGAGGGTGCCGAGCATGGGCAATGTACGGAGCCTGTAGCCCTAATAGGCGCAGGAACTGGGTTAGGAGAGTGCTATTTAACCCCGACAAAGGACGGAAGTCTCATCGTTTTTCCGACAGAGGGTGGACACGTCGAATTTGCGCCTCGCACAAAGCTGGAGTTGGAGTTGCTCGAGTACATGCATAGACGTCTAAATACAAGCGGGGAGTTAAACGGGTCCGAGACAGAGGTACTTCCTCGCGTCAGTGTTGAGCGCATTGTCTCGGGAAAGGGGCTTGAGAACATCTACGAGTTTTTGTGTGAGAAGTATCCAGACCAAGTCAACGAAGTCCTTGACGCAGACTACAACGAATCAAACGAGCGTGGTCGGCTGATCGGTACCGAGAAATACAACTACAAGCTATTCTGGCGAGCATTAGAGATCATGTTTGGTGTCTTTGGTGACGAGGTTGGAAATTGCGTACTCAAGTACCTACCCTATGGAGGGGTTTATATTGCCGGCGGCATTGCTCCGAAGAACCTTGAGTTCTTACGAGGGAAGGCCTCGCAGTTTATGCGTCGTTACATGGACAAAGGCCGGATGTCTTCAATAATGTCTGCGTTCCCGGTGTATGTAGTTATGAAAGAGGACCTCGGTTTGCGAGGTGCGCACACTTTTGCAGCAAGATGTGCGTCTGATATTCTCGCGTCAGGGGCAAATGAAGAGAAGGAAGGCGCCGTTACGGAACATACCAAGCTCCCGGTGGACGCTCCACCGCCTTCGCGAGAGTCGAAGCTTAGCGCCACGGAAGCTGTTCGCGAGGCAGTGGTCACCTATCCGCTCACCTACGCAGTGGTCACAAGTTTCACTTCCGCATTCACCGCCGGTGTTATAATGGCAGGAATGGAGGTTGCGAAGAAATGGAGGACGAGGTGAGTAAGTAGCCTGGAAGGCAATCGGTGGTATACAGCAGGATATGAGAGGCGGTGATAAAGATAATGCCATTAGCTAGAGCACTGTGTGGAATAAAACGGGGCTGTTTTGCCATCGCATATCAGGCTCTAGCTAGTGTTCGAGATATCGTCGCTGCCCGTTCCTATGCTCACCTGTTGCGTGCAACGGGTACCGTTAATCTGTATTTGCAATGATGTTGCAGCATAGAACAGCCGATGCATGTACACATTGCCTCTGTCTTAACATTTGACTGCAAAGTCGCGTGTGTCTTGCCCATGCTGTTGAGTCACACTGTAAAGGAATTTTTCTCTCTAAGATGTTGTTGAATGGATGTGGCCGAGCAGCCCTCTCTGACAATAAATCTCAACTGCGGTTTCTTCGGTACAAGAAACACTAAATTGCCTGCCACGGGGGCATGCACGTTGCCAATTCTAAATACGTCGGGGTGCTTACAGAAATGCGATGGTTTTGTGCAACTGTCCTTTTCAGAGTCACTTGAAGAACAGAACCATGCAACTATGAGCAGAAACTGCTAGTCAATCAAAAGTTCCAACCCATACGACGCTGGAAAGTATGGCTCACAGGGTGTAATGACTGGAAGGTAATCCCGGAGATCATACTAATGATGCGAGTATAGCAGATCTCAGTCTCAAGCAAGAGGCCTGACAATGTTGGCACATCGCAACAGACGAATCCTGCTGACGCGTAAGTCCACGATTTCTTTAGAGTTAGCAATATGTCGCAGATGAATACAGTACTAGCTCAGGCATACTCGCACACTGGACACATGCTATGATTTCCTTCGCTCGCCTGCTGCTGTTCTCGCTCACTATGAGCCACGCCCGTCCGCTGTTTCAAAAGCCGAGTCAGATGAAGGGTTGGTGATGGAAGCAGTTTGAGAACGTGGCTGCGGGACCTTTCGCTCCTGTTGCACCATTCAAAGCAGATACGGCTCGTCGGGAAAGCATCGCAGGCAGGAATGACAGCGATGCTGTGTACCATGGGCACGGAAGCGACATTGGTAAGAAAATACCTGGTAGCATCGACAGTAGCGACAAGCTCACTGTCCAACAGGCAAGCCACACGATGGCAATACTACGAGTCCCCCGCGAGGGCACTGAGATGCGATGATTAGACGGGAGCGAACGTGGGCACAGACTTCTCGTACCTTGTGAGAAGGGCGTAGAATGAGAGGCTGGCAACGTGGGACTCGACAGCATCGACAGGGGGATGAGCGATATGCGTGGAAATCAACGATGGCGGGGTGTGAACAGCGGCAGCGAGGTGAAAGGGGATGGGTGTAAGGAAGAGGAGGCGGCAGATTGGGTAGTGCCGAGTCAGAAAGCGTACCAGCGAGGGGAAAGCGCGAATGATTGGGCACGGCTGAGAGGCCTGCAGCGAGGGAGGCCGATAGCGTTGAGCCGAAACACTTGTCAGCGAAACACGTCGCTCAAACTACGAAGCGTGCACCGTGTAGAGGGGCCGCGAGGGAATGTGGCGAAAGGATTCAGAGAGTTCTATCAATGGAGCGGAAGGGTTACTTGCGCAGCCACAGTTCAAGAAATGCGGGCAACGATCCAGTAGTATTACTTTAAGCTGGAGAGTGGGGGATTGTGCTGATCACCATGCCGTATGTACTGACATCTATACGCACGTCACGGAATCTTACCGGGAGAGTTCTAAACGTACCAATAGTCTGTGCGACGAAGCCTTATAGCTGCAACAGGCGAAAGATATGGCTATGAAAGAATTACTTATTGAAGGGAACATCACTATCGCAGGAGTACGGATACGAAGGGGAAGAAAGGATGGCTTGAAGGGAAGAGCGGACGGCATGAAAGAATCAAACCAAGTTGAAAGGAAGGAATGGGCGTGCGAGGGAGATCACGGACAGTTGTACAAAACGACAGATGGAGTGGGCATGTCAACGGGCGGCGCCCCCGTACCCTGCCACCACACAATGTGACAAAGCACAAGTGGTGACAGGCTCGAAAGACGCCACCCCAGAGACGAGAATGAAGTCCGCGGCCCTACACCCCGAGACCTCAGCGAGGCGAGGCCTCAGGGTGCGGTGCCCGGGTTTCCCCACGAACCCATTCTCGTACTCCGGGGCAGCGGAAGAAATGGTTAGAGGAAAGTGCGAGACCAGTATTTATACTCTTTGAGCAGCGCGTGTGTTTGCAACTGTTGTTCTATTCAGCAATGCTAAGTTTTGCCAACAAAGCGTTTTTTGCAACAAAACGTTAAACCGGCTGGCGGCATCGTTCCCACTAAACTCGAGAGTACAAAACGTGAGGCCACAAGGTCGCGGTTAGACTAGCATTCAGAGAGTGGAGAAGAGGGCGTGACACGAGACGGTCTCTTTGCTACGATAATTGGAGCAGGATGTGAATCCGAATTTCGCGGGAAAGACGAAGCGCGAAGACTGAGTGCCACATTGTTGTATGTTCCACTGCGGGGTGAAGCATTGGTTCACCCCGTTTTAGCTCTCGGTCTTCGGTGTTCGATCGGATCATCAGTAAGTGAATTTCTTTAATATTTTTTAACCATCTCTTCAACCTTTTGACATCTGAAAAATGAGTGCTTTCGGGGAATTAATGTCGCTCTTCAGAAACGGCTCTGCGCTCTCACAAAGCAACAATTCATTGGCGTCCTCCCATGCATCACCAACCTGTTCTCACCTCGCATTCCCCAGTTTTGCGTTCCTACACAGTCCATCTGTGGTTTTTGTCGGCCACGCCCGTCTCAGGCCCACCTCGCCTGCACGCTTTTGGTACATCAAAGAAGGTGCAGGGAGGGACAAACATCTGCTGCCCACACAAACCAAGGGAAACCACATTAATTCAACCAGATTCTTGCTCCCTCGACTCCGACTTCAAGTGTTTGAAGGATACCACTATCGCAGCCCTGACCGCAGCCCTGACCGCAGCCCTGACGGTCACCCCTGCAGTCACCCCTGCAGTCACCCCGGTCCTTACTCCGGCCGTCACCCCGGCCGTCACCGACTGTCACCCCGGCTCTCACCTTCGCCTCACCCGGGCTTCACCTCGACTTCACAAGGATATTTAAGAGCGACTCTGACATGCGCAACAATGGAACAGAACAACGACCAACACCTGCAGGCACAAATTGCGGAAGCTCTTCGACGCAGCCGCGAAGAAACAAACTTGGACGAAACGAACCTGGCTGCCGCCATGGCAAACAGTCTCACCACCCGCGATGAAGAAATAGCGCGTAACATGCAGCGTGCGCAAATCCAGGTATACGAACAAAACCTTTACCAGAATGCTTCGGATGAAGACGAAGACCATCCCAGTCCCTGGCAACACGTAAATTCCCAGTCACAACGCACCGATGCTCGCAGGGTAAACCACATTCACTCTTCTCAGTCGCTGCCGATACGACGGACCTCGGCACGCCCTGCAACGGCTCAACTCCGAAATAGACCATCTTCATATCGCGGCCCTGATATACCAGGCACCCGCCGAGTCCAAGAGGTGCCTGCTTCGACTAACTGGAATTCGCAATGGGCGCAGCAGATTCAGCCACGACCAACAGAAACCCATCGCCACTACATAAGCCCGCCTGCGTGGGGAAGAAGCCCTCCAAGCCCACACCACTTAGCAGGAGGAAGTGGCCCTCACAGCCCTCAATCCGCCTACCCCCACAATCGCCCCCTATCCAACCGCAACAGCCCCGCTCCACGCCGCAACGCCAATGCCTCCTTACCCAACACACCCTCTCGTGACCCACGCTCACCGTCCAGCCCACAGCACAATGGCCCTTCCCCCAATTTTACTTCTTCTCTCACTCCCATCAATATAGGCCCCCCACAGCTGCAGCAAAGCACTCCGTTTCTACCCTCTCCGGGCCGCTCCCCTCTAACGTATGCGTCTGCTGTAGCTGCCAACGTTCCACAACCCCAGCCGCCCTCTCCTCAAAGACCTAATACACAACCGCGACTATCTCAACGGTCTCAAGACGTCCCTATTACAATTCCAGAGGGTGAACCTACTGTTATAATTGATGGCCAAAATGTTGGCCGTGACTACGGCGAGAACGACCACATATTCCAGAGCCGAGGAGTTAAACTTGCCCTGGACTACTACGCGGCAAATGGAATACGCGCTCTAGCGCTACTTCCAAGGAACAAAGTTGACCAACGTACTTACCTGAGACCTGGAGTTCGCAATACCCTCGTCGCTGATGACCCGGAACTCTTAAATGAGTTGCACAGCCAAGGACGAGTCTACTTCACCCCAGCTGGATCACATGATGACTTTTTCATCCTTAGGTATGCGATGCGGAAGGAAGCCGATGTCATCTCCAACGATCGCTTCATCAAGGAGTTAGAGATGCAGGAGACAGCCGAGGATGTACGCGACATGAGAACGTTTCTGGAAACTCATCTTATACCCTACACTTTCATTGGGCAAGACTTCGTACCAAACCCCAATCCGTGCCGACTTGGACGAAACGTGCACCAAAGCAGAGCACTGCGACGCTAGTCGCAAATTGCCCAAGTCCCCTGTCTCTACCCTCAAGTCAGCTTAGATATGAGGATGACTCCATGTACAATAAAGGACGCTTACTCCCCCCTACTAGTTACGGCACAATCGACTTTGAGATCTCGTTTCGCTGCTTCACATCTTAAAGCATGAAGTGCCAGTCTACCAGTTCATCCGAAATCCCCTCACTTCTAAAACTGGCAACTGGAGATTTCCACCGCTTTACAAGAAATAGTTCAGGCCTTCAACACTCCCTTTACCGCACCCATGGACAAGGGTCTATCCCGCATATGCGCACAGCAAACGTGCAGGCCAAGTTGATAGAAGTCATTAGAAATGTAGCCCCCTGCTGTAGCAGAACTGGCGAGGTCACATGAATTCGGGACTGAACAACGGACGCAAAACTGGGCTTTTCAATCCATACTAACACTACATGCTGCCACATTCCGCAATGCCACTTTCAGATCCGCCCAAACGCCTTCTACTTCTACAACATCCAATAGTTGCCTTGCATCTCGACCCTTTCATCACAGATGAAGAACAGAAGCACAGTGTTTGTTGGCATCTGATCTCACAACTGTTTGAGAGCGGCGCAACGCATGCAAACGAGAGCTCTGCGAAGCCGTAGTTTACTCCTTCTTGCTCATTTCTTCCGCTCTGTTTGTAGCTTCTCTAATGGCCTCGATTACAGCCGATCGGAAGCCACGATTTTCTAAGATCGCAGACGCCGCGATTGTGGTTCCTCCAGGGGACTCCACCCGGTTTCGCAGTTCTCCTAGATGAACATCTGGCTGTTCAAGTGCCATCTTGGCCGCACCTAGGACAGTTTGACATGCGAGCTGCCGCGCTACCGCCCGTGGCAAACCTTCCCGTACCCCTGCATCTGACATCGCTTCCATCATCATGTAGACGTAGGCTGGTCCGCTCCCGCTGAGACCTGTAACAGCATTAATACTCTTTTCCGGTACTTCTGACAGCAAACCGCACGACCCCATGAGTGTTTCAACCACTTCCCGATCTTCCTGTGTGCACTTTTTGTTCAATGTGAAGCTAGAAGCCGCCTCGCCCACTAAACACGCTTGATTCGGCATGACTCGAATGCACTTGCGCCTTGGATTCCCTGCTGCAAGGCTGCCGAGGTCAACGCCAGCACAAATAGAAACAACTAGCAACTGCTTCCTTCTATTTTGCTTTTCGAAATTGGTTACATCTTCCAATACTATTGGGACGATATTCGGCTTAACAGCTAAGAAGATTGTGTTACTATTCGAGAGCATCTCTTCTCCGTCTGCAGTGACTGAGACTCCCAGCTTTGCCAGTTCCTCTCGCCGAGCTTGAACAAGTTCACAGACCCACATGTTTTGGGGCGCGATTGTTTTGCGATTCAACAACCCCTTCAGTATCGCTTCAGCCATCATTCCACCTCCGTAAAAGCCAACAGAAACGTCATTCATCTTAGAAGTTGTTACTAAACTTCGCGTTCGCAGATCCGGTCGATTCCCGAAAACTGCTCGTCCCGCTTTTCGGACTGTAAAAGAAGAGAGCGCTTCCGGTGGGCAAAGGGGAATAGACCGAGAAGAAATGGAGCGATTCAATGCGGACGGCAATGCGCGAATGAACGAAACACTCTTTTGATCACGGATGTAGCAGTATGTGGAAAATTTGGATAAATCTGCGAACCGCTCTGCAGATCGAAAGCCCGGAAATGTGAGCCGTGAGAACATATCACCGTACAGTAATGAATGTGGCGAGTGACTAAAGCATCGGCCTAAACAAGCAGGTGTTTGCCACAGAGATGCAAAGGCAAAGCTTGACGTTCTTCAATGTGACTCTCTGCATGCACAAAAGCAAACCGGCGAGAGCGATGAATTTCCCTTCGCCGATGATGATACGAGTGCGATGATACGATACTGTGATATCACACATGAAGGAGGTCTGCACCTCGCCGATACCGTGCTGTACCCTTGGTACCCTACATTATTTGCAATTTTCGGGTTGAATATTGCCAAACATAATGTAGGCAGATGAATTTCTCAAGAGTGCCTCTTCATTGTCACCATTGCTAAGGAATTGGCAATGGTGACAATGAAGCCTCCTTGGCAATGGTGAGAATGAAGAGACAAGGCATTTGCCTTACTCGAACGCATCCCCAGTAGGGACTAATACTACAGCATTCAAAAGGCTTTATTCCTGTCTTGTTGCCATGGCTTTTGAAATTGGAAAAAGAATTAGCGCTGGTTCCGCAAGGTGTCCATTGGTTCAAAGCTTGGTTTGCGAAGCGAGAGCAGGTGGAATGTGAAGCATTTAAACTGCAGAATCTTTAAACATTGGCTCTATTTATTGAGAATCGGTATCCTCAATGAGGATCCCGAAACTATGCAAGGACCTCAATCGCGCAGCCACAGCTGCAATACGAGAATCTCATACCGCACGGTGGATATCTGGTTTGCACACTTTCGACCGCCATCCTGGACACTGGAACCGCATTTTTTCGGAAAATTTAACACTTGAGATGCAAGCCCGCTTCTTGTACAGTACGCATTGTACCAAGGGTACAGTATGGACGTGTCTATATCCCTAGTGTTGAATTTTAATGTACGGTTATGGGATTATTGGCCATATTTGGATCAAGGATCAGACGGATGTGGCTGAGGTAGGGATACTGATATGGGGCTGCGATAAAGGGAGGAACCAGGTGGCAAAGTAATCAGCATGAACGCTGGGCTGCTGCCGCTATCCTTTTGTTACTACGTTAGGTCGCTGCTTAAGTACTGATTTCTCGCGTCTCTTTGCTGCCGCATCTATCGTCTATGCCATATTACTGCGCGCTGCACTTGCCATTTGCGGTTCTTTGCTAATTGAAGCAGAGCTCGTGCTTCTCGCTATGTTCATTGCTTGCATGCTGCCACTCTATCTATGCCGCTGATAGAGCTGGTCAAGGTTGCGACCTTTCCTCCGAGTAGAGGATTGCATTCGCCCATATTGCATTGCCGCTGCCGCGTATGCCCTTTCGTCTCCATAGCAAAATGTCCTGCGTATTCAGGTACGTCGACATGTTCTTGAGTGCCAGTCGATTCGCACGTGTACCTTCATTTACAGAAACCCGATCACTGATCGAATCAGGATATCTGGTTTCACATACCCCCCAGTCATTCGAATGGGATGAGGGTGACTTCACGGCTATTTTATTTCCATTCTGTGCTGTCATGAGACTGACCCTGTAAGAACGCGCTCTTCAGAATTCCGGTAGTTTAAATGTTGTTGAGATCGTTCCAGAGCTTAACATTTCGCTTTGTTAATGCGTCAGCCACATTGCCAGTGCCGGGAATCTATCGAATGACATCAACTTCTTTGGATTCGAAGCTGTCGCGGATACGCTGAACTGTTTGGCGCAAACGATACTCTCTTCCTTCATGTAGGGTTGATATTGTATCAAAGAGCCCCTTTGAATCAACCACTATTTCACTTCTTAGTCCAGTCTTCGGAAACAGCGATCGCATTCCTGTCTTAATATAATATCCGCGGTCATCTGCTTCCGTACAAGCCAGGATTTCTGCGCCATAGCTGGAGTGGCTGATTCGTCTTTGCTTTGTGCTAACCCAGTCTATGACGTAGTATTGGTCACTTCCGTCACTCATTGTCGTTCAAATACCGCAGATTACTCCGGTCAGGCCATAGGATTAACGAGAGCTGATATTAAATGAAGCGTCGGAGAATGTGGTAACCCATGCCTGTGTGAGTAGATCTGCTTGAGGAAAGAAAAGGGTAGGGTCGAGGTTTTTGATGTCCCTAACCATTTCGTTTGCCTCGATGAGATGGCCCACTTTCAAGTTTGAGAGTCGCTGCTGCATTGCTGAACTTGCATAAGCTGCAGGTGGCAAGACACCTTTGCCCAACCATAGCATGGTTCCTGCCAAACTCTGAAATAGGGTCATTTCGCTTTCAGTGGCGTTCCTGTTAAGCTGCTTCCTTCTCTCTCTTGATAAGGAAATTTCTCTTAGCTCTTTCATGTAGCTATTCATCATCATCTTTATCGAACCGCTGGCGTCCTGTTCAATCTCACGGCCATTAAAATGAAACTTTCTGTCTACGACGATTTTTCCGACCTCAAATCTTTTCTTGAGCTTTTCTAAAAAAGTTTGGATTACTGAGATTGATCCTCCACAGATAAAGTTGTCTGTGACCTTCGCCACGATGAGTGTAAATTTTCCCACGCTGTCTCTTAGCACATATATCTGGTTGAGGCCTTTTACGCGTTGAAGTCCAACTCTATTGAGCATCCAGCCTTCTACTGTCTTTGCCCATTGCCGTCCTGCTTCCACAATGCCGTATGGTAGCTTCGTCAGTTTCCATATCTTTCCGCGCGCAGCAGTCCATTCCCGAGGTGGTCGTACGAAAATGTCACGTTGGATCGGTCCACTTTGGAGATATGCTCCTTTTATGTCTGCCATGGCCAGACGCATTCCGAGAAGTGTCACAGCGGCGAGGAGAATGCGGATAACGTCAAATTGAGCCGTCGATGAGTCCTTGCGTATATCGTCTTTGTATACATCCCTATTGCCGTGTGGGACGATCCTTGCTTTCAACGCGTGAGAGCCGTCTTCGCTTGTCTTCACCTTGTAGATCACATGCGAGGAGATCACATTTGCCCTTGATGGCAGATCTGAGTCATCAATTAGTTCGTATGCATCCGCCCAATTCGACTCATGCTCTTTGTTGAATGCCTCTTCAACAATCCATGAAGGTGCGAACTCGAGCTTGTTCCGCGTTACCTGTGCTTTACCGATCGTTCGTGCCATATTCTCCATTATTTTCGATCGGTCTGAGGACAGTGTTGTATTTGGCGTGGAGTTTCCGTGGACGGTTGTTGTGCCGATGTCTGCTTCTGAATTCCCGTCGGAGACTGTTACTGTGTTTGCCAGTAGGGCTGTGGAGATAGGAATGTCGGACACATTGGGAGGACTTTCGTCGTCACTAACCAGTCGGGCTTGTGATGTCAATTGGTCTGTTATTTGTGTTTGACCTGCAATATTTCCGTTCGATCCTACCCCCTTGTCCGATAGTCTATCGTCCCTGTTGTGCATTGATTCTGTGATCATATGAGGTGTGATGGAGTCGTCCGTTGCTAATTCTTCCTCTAATGTTTGTGACATCAGGTCTTTTGTCAGCTGGCTGTTGGGTGCTATTCGCATGTCTTCGTACGCTACTCGCATAGGAGGACCTTTTTCGGATCGTCGGGCACGTACGCGATGCTGTTCCGCCTGTACGACTGATGCCTTGACCCACCCTTTTTTCTTCGCTTTACTTGACGTTTCGTAATAGACCCAAATAGGGTCTCCCGGTTTCAATATGTCGCTGTGCAGGACGGATGGGTTCTTGGTGTGCAGGAGTTTTGAAGAGCGCGGGCTGCTGCTTGCTCTTTATGCGCTTGTAATAGCTCCGTCGTGACATGTGATTGTGGGGTGCCAATGATAGAAGGAGTGTAGTCCTTTGCTAATTGAAATGAACTCAATATCCTGGATCCTGAGAACATGTTCGATAAGAACGCTGCTCGCGCCACGATCGTTCTTGTGTCAGCATTTGTAATTTCGTTGTCCAATTTTCGAATTATGCATTTAACAGCTGGATTTTTGCGTTCAACACTGCCCAATTTGTTGTGTCTCCTTGCTGGTCGTGGTTTGTACGTAATGTTGTGTTGTTTCAGGAACTCACGGAAGTCGGGCTTGTCGTAAGCATCGTCTCCGGAAAGTGCTCTGGGCGCTCCATGGATACAAGTCCAGTAGCGTTCTACGCTGTTTTTGATCGTTTCCAAGTTTTGGTTTGGTACGATACGTATTTCGGACCACGAGGTACCCCTGTCCGTCATATTGACGAGAATGCATTTCTTACCGTCGATACTGCAATGCGTAAAGTCGATCTGAACTTCCTGGTTGAATGCTGAATTAACGTGAGTGAGAGATAGCTTCCGCATGCTTGCCGGCCGGCCTTTCTTTGCACATATTTCACATTCGCTGTCTACTGTGTCGATTGCCTTCGAAAGTTCTTCGTTGAGGATGCCCGCATTCTTACATATATGCTTAATTTCATCTGCGTTTGCGTGAGTGAAACGATGAATTTTCTTTGAGAATGCGAGAGGCGTTCGTCTTCCTAACGCGTTGATGTTAGCCATGAGGCTACTAACTGATGATTGTTTGTGCGGTGCTATTTCCACTCGCAGTCGCTGAACACTGCCTGCTGTTCCTTTCCATGTCATATACGTGAGAAGTGTAAGGATTTTTGTATCCGTCGGTCGTTTGATCGAGATGTGCCGCGGTCTTTCGTAGTTGATTATGTTCGCGTATTGTGTGATGTCCAAGCCTATTATTAAGGGCGATTCCCCGTGGACGAGGTCGAACGAAAGAGCTATTGGATTGCCATTTCGATCCATAAAGGTCAAGGTCCACGTTGCCATGATGGGGCGGGCGTCATGACAATCCTGTCTCGTCCTGGACGCACCACGTGCGTCCAGGCATGTTCGTATTTTTCACGTGGTGCGTCCAGGACGAGAGGGATGCCGAGAAATTCACATAATGTAGTAGCGTTCAGGATACCTCCGGTGGAGGATGGGGCTCCTTCATCAATGATGGGGTTGGGGTCGATCTGGAGCGTGAGCGATCCCTTTACTGAAAATACGTATCATTCTTAAGATTTTGGTCCTGATTACCTTCGAAGCTAACCCTTTTCT